TTATCTAAACAACTACCCGCCTGTACAGTGGGGTTAGGCGGTCATTTTGCAGCTCGTGGTATAAAATAGACAATGGAATATGCATGTGAAAATAGAGCCATATTCTGCCATGCCTGTAGAACTATTGGGTCAAAGATAATGCATACAATAGCACAGATGCCTTCACCACGAATGGCTACAAAAAGATCTCATATCCCAAGCTTATCAACGAGCTAATGTTGCAGCTGAAATGTTCTCCAGGTCACAAAGTCAACCTCACATGATGATGTGAACCAGTTTTCAAGCACAGTAAATATTCTCTTCCCAGAGATGGGACCAAGGTGATGATGTAGTACATGGTTTTATTAATGCTTTTGCTTTTCAATGTTTGCCATTTCAAACCATGAGCTGGTTCAAATCATATTTGCCTTGATTTACAATATGTTCTCATTTGTTTTATCAGTACAGTTTTGAAGCTTTTGTGCTTTTCTTTGCCATAGTCCACTTTGGACTATATGACATATTTCAGGATTGCACTTTTAACTCACTTGAAATGTTCTCACTTGCTTGGTTTCAAAACATAACAAATGCCATAATCTGTTCATTGGGGACCATCAATGCTATTTTTCATTGCTGTTGCCGGCCACTATTGCTCATGTAAACCTACCTACTGCTGCGCCCCCTGTAATCTCAGATGCACCCTGAGTCATTTTGTTCTGGACCCGGGCCTGTACACGGCCATATACTAAACAAACTACAGAGCCCATTCCGTGTCCTGTTATGGTTTACTTCCTCTCTGCCTTCTTCTGGTGATTTATCTGACGTCCAGCGCTCCGTCTTTTAACCTCTTTTCCTTTCTCTTTCTTGATCCTCCTTAGAAATCTTCATTATAGTCCTTGACAGCGGTCTGTACTGCTGTATTAACAACGTGTCACAAGTTAAGAATTTACAATCAGAATCAAGTATTCAACTAAGCCGTGTAATACAAGTTGTTAGTAGCCTTAAGGGCCTACAGTTGTTATGCTATACCACATTGCCCTTCACTGGATGTACAATAACTACATTTTAGCATTTAAAATACCTAGCCATTCTTTTGCGGTTATTTTGGTGAAAGTAACTAAAAAGTAACTAAAGTAGTGTAACTCATTACATTTCAGAGACAGTAATATTGTAATGTAACTTATTACTTTCAAAAGAGAGTAATAAGTAATATGTAATATATTACACTTTGGAAGTAACTTGCCCAACACTGCTAATACCTTAGCTTCAAATAAGCTAACCCACTTTAATTACTAGTACATTAGCACCCATTTTAAGTGCTAATACATTAGCTTCAGAAAAGCCAAACAACTTAAAGTGCTAGTAGGCCAAACAAGCTTCAAATGAGCTAAAGCTAAACCATTCTAATGTACTGAAACTTTTGTTTTCTGTTAGTGTTAGATTTGTATCGCCAAGGTGTGCGACAGGTGCGTTTAGAACTGAAGGAAGATTTTCTGCTGTCACGATATAAAAGGGTAGCTTGTTCCAACAGGTGTTTTTGTTGAGCAATATCCCAATATCTCTCTCTCTCTCCTACAGTTCGTTTCACCCCCTCTCTGAACCTGAAGCCCCTCCTCTTCGAGGTTCCCAGCCTCTCGTCTGATTGGCTGTTCAGCGGCAGGGAGTGGCTCTTCCAGGAAGTGGACGCTTGTCTCCGCGGCTCTGATTCGTCGAGCAGCCGAGGCGTCATCATCATGGGCAACATGGGCTTCGGGAAAACCGCCATTATCGCCCGCCTGGTGGCGCTCAGTTGTCATGGCAACCGTATCTCACCAACCGGAAACCAGACGCTGCCCAAACGTGAGTCAACAATATCACATTTATATACTTATTATCAACGGGTAAAGGGTTGGGATACCTGTAAACAACAACAACAATAATATATTTGAACCCTGCTGTCACGCGCTTTCTTTAGGTTGTGCAATACGGCCAAATGCGTTATTATGATTGTTGGCATCTTCTGTTTTACATTATTCATTAATTGTTTGACGTCAGACTGCACATGTATGTCCTTATGCATGCAGAGGGTAAACAAACCCAATGTCTTACTGGAGTTGTTCCATCGCTTAATGAAACCCAGGGTCCTCAGGGCTCTTACATGTTGGCAGGACAAAGGACCCCCAGTGAGTTCCTCCAGACATGAAGACGTCTTTAATTATTCTGAGAGAGACTCTGAACCCTGCTAAGAATAACATAAGGAATATACAGCGGAATATTGTTTTATATATTTTGTTTATGTTATTATAGTTTCTTAAAATAGTTCTCTACCCGTCTAATGGATGCACCACGGCACCAAGTCAAATTCCTCGTATGTCTCAACCTACCTGGTGATAAACCTGATTCTGAAAAACTACAGGCAGTTATATCAACATTGATATTAGCACCTGGTCTCTCTCTGCAGATATGGAGGCTATGTCTTTGTCCCAGGACTCTCTGGGAGGAGGAGGAGGAGGAGGAGATGAAGGAGCTGGAGGAAGCTGTCCGGGAACCCCTGAGATGAGGAGGAGACAGGAGGAGGCTCTGAGGAGGCTGGCAGGACAGGTAGCTCCTGATCTCCTGTAGCTCGTGTTCTGACTCGTTAATGATTTACAAAACTCCAGTACAAGTCCTAAAGATGCCTGTTAGTAACCTGTCGTCCCCCCTCTCTGCAGGTGGTCTCGTACCACTTCTGTCAGGCTGATAACTGCCACACCTGTCTGGTGCCGGAGTTCGTTCACAACCTGGCGGCGATGCTAAGCTCCGCCCCCCAGCTGTCGGCCTATCAGGAGCTGCTGCAGCAGTCCCCCCCCTTGCAGAGCGCGCTCAGTCTGCGCTGCTGCATCCAGGACCCGGGGGGGGCGTTACAGAGAGGCATCATACAACCACTGGATACTCTATACAGAGGTATAACATATATATATATATACAGTATATACGGAGGGGGTGCTGCAACCACTGGACGCTCTATATAGAGGTCAGGCATCGTTAAAACCCTTATAATCAGTCAGCTTTAAAGGTCTATAAACTATTTCTAGGCATATATCACAGGTCTCAAATATATAAAGACATGTCTCTGAAGTGTCCTGCTCCAAACCCCAAACAGATCCTTGTAGCCCCCCCCCCCTCTCTTCCAGCTGTTCCTAAGGACATGTCTCTGAAGTGTCCTGCTCCAAACCCCAAACAGATCCT